AAAGTTCTTTGTCCTTTTGTTAAAAGTTCTCATTCCCCTACTTATTCTATAAAATAGCTTTTAAGTTAAATTTATTTAAAAATGCATCAAACCTTAAAAATTGATAAAACCTTATTATGCATAATACAATCTTTTCTATCTGAAGCTCTCACCACACTCCATTCTGCATAATAGCAAAAATCATCTCTTCTCATTCTATCATCCAGCTTCAATTCTCCTTTTTTTGATATTTACATTTCAAAAGTTCTCATTAGCTTTGTCTTCTTTTCTTTCCATTTCTATTCTCATCGCCCTTTCTCTTCCCTTGCACAAATTCAACCATCTCTGTACACAATCTGTTCTGTACTTTCTGAGGTTACTATTACTTTGCAGCTGTAGTTCCCTACTCTTCTACATCTGCTTCCCTTCCCCGTGCCTTCTTCCATAACAGATTCTGCTCCTGTCTCCTTTGTTGCCTGCTTATTTTATCTGAAACGGGTATATTCCATTAAAAAAAAAAAAAATCAAGAGAAAAGGAGAGTGTCTTTAAAGGATGAAACTCACTAGAATTGTTTTTAATGTCTGCATTCATTCATTATGAATTTTGCATTAGACACAGACTCATTCCCATTGACTGTGAAGTCCAGCTTTCTACTTCTGACAGAGTGGAGCACTCAAGTAAAGAGAGGATAATTCCACTCTGGATGTCCAGTGTTCTAATGTTTTAATAATATTTTCTCAGCTTTTCAGTAATTTCACTGTCAATTTTCAAATATAGATGCCTGGCCCAGTAAACTGTGCAAGATGTTCAGCTGGATTTTCCTCTAGATATTGGTTAAGACTAAACCATGATGTTTCCATATTTTTTTTTTTTCCTTCTTTTTCTACATAGTATCTTTCAGATATGGCCACATCAGGCTATCATTATCTTGAATCTTTTATACGGTCCACTCCTAGGAAATTGTATCCTATCCTGTTTGTTCAAAATGAAGCCATAAAAGGCCTTTTCTTGTCTTTGCTGTTTGCTCACTTCAATATAATTCCTCTTTGAGATACATCTTTTACACAAAACAGAAGTGGCAGGTTCAGGGCCTTAAAAGGAAGACAGCATTTTTTTTTATACACCTGTAGTATTTAATTTATTTGGATGCCAGCCTAACCCATTCATCAAGTTCTCATATAATCAGCTGTGTATCTTCCCTCTTTTCTTGTCAGCTGATCTAAATGGCCAGGGGATCTGAAGTCTGGTGAGTATCCATGAAATAATCTCCTTCAGAACCCAATTTTAAAAAGGAAATTTTTGTGTGTGTTTGTTTTTTGTTTAAAGACACTCACAATGGCTGGAAAATTAGTATGCCAAAGAAAGTGCCTATCACAAGAGTACTAACTATAAAAGAAGATTAATATTTTCCTCCTCCTTTTTCTCCAGCTGTGGAAGAAATAAGGAAAAGAAAGAATCTTGCTTTCCAGGATGCAACTAAAATTCCCATTGCCACTATGGTGAACCAGGCTTACAATTTGAGCCTGGATGTAAACCTTAATGGCTTGGGAATTGGGCCTTTTAAGAAAAAAAGGAAAAGTGTTTTTGGGTCTTCTCTGACTAGGAAAGCAACTGAACACCAGGTATCGGCCCTCCAAAAAAGTTTAGTGTCTAAATTCCTTCTACCCAGCACAGGTACACCATCTACCTGGGCAAAATTACTAATGTGCAGAGACATCTAAATTGCCTCTGGCTGAATTAATTCTGTGAGTGGAAGCACAGCTTAACTAGATAATTAGCTCTTCTCAAAACTGGCCGAGAAGCAGAGTTAAATTACTTAAGATAAGCATAACAGTATTACAGCTGGCTGGCTGCTACCAAAAGTATTTCTGGCACAATACTGTGCCAGGCAAACTACACAGAGGGCTTGTTTGGCTTTATTTTTGTTGTTAATACCTATTCCAGTTTTGATGCTACATCACCAGCTCTTCTCCCTACTATATATATTCAAAAATATTTGATCCTTCTTGCCTTGTTATACCTGCAGACAGCTTTCTGCTAGATATGATATCACTCTCTACTGCCTTTAATGCTGGAGATTCAAAAATAAGACTTCTGTCTTTCATGCTTCAGATATTAACATTCTATTTTATACTAGAAAATGTTGACCTCTGTTCCTGTGAATTTAAAGCTTCAGGACAAGATCTCCGGTAGCTTTTAAAATTGTGTGATACCAGACAGAGGAGTACTATGAGCTCTGCCTAGTTTTCCAGTCTATGAATGAAATCTGCATTTTTGCAATTTAAAAAAGACAGCTTGCACTATGTGCCCAACAGGAAGGGCTCCATCCCAGAGCATCCTGGATGACAAATTTACAGATGTAATTGACAATGTCCATCCCCATGCTTCTTCCACACTTGTCTGTAACTCTCCAAAATGATGTGAAAGCTGATATCAGAAATACACTGGCAAAGCTGGACTTTTCCTAAGGTCTCTTCCTTTGCTTCCAACAAATGGCTCATAAAAGATACCAAGGTTTTTTTTGCTTGATTTGGTTTCATGGGTTTTTTTGAGGCATTTAGTGCTATGCATACTCTGAATTAAGAAATTATTAGATTTTGGAAGGGGACTTTTCCCCTGTAGTAACAACCAGAACCAAATTCTCACAATGGACTCACAGTACTGGAAGCAAGAACAAATTGCTCAAAACCCCTAAAAACTACATGCTACCTAAAAAATACTATCTCCACCAGGGTCTTATTTTCCTAAAAATTTATTAATGAACTTTGATTTCATAAGACATGATGCAATGTTTGCTTTAAGCCATTGTTCAACTATATAATAGGTTCTTTTTAATGCATTTAAATTTTCTTGCTGAATTATTTATTGAATAAGAATACATGTATGACTAGTTGATTACAAATGTGAATAACTATTTTTTAAAGTATTTTTCCAGGTTCATACATGAAGATTTTAACCACAGCTTTAATGAAAAGTTGTTTCCAAACTAGCTCACATCAGTGGGCACGTGACTGTAAAATAAAACAGAGTAAAGTTTCAACAGTGACATCTGTCTTAGATGTTACTGAGTGCCCAATAAAATCAAGCCAGATAACAGTTCAGCTATTTGAATAAGCAGTGGATGAAAACACACAGTTCAAAAACACATTTTCAAAGCAAAGTGGTAGAGATTTTTGGCGAGGTTTATCTTTTCTCTTCTCTGAGATTATTATTCAGCCCACACAACCGCAGAGAAAGTTGGGAAACAGAGAGCAACTTAGAGTAACATCTCAACATGTGCAAGACATTTTGTTCATCGTGCTCTAGAGGAAAAATTCAAGACAAACAGGGAGCCAGCTTTGGGTGGTCTTAAGAACTTGAAAAGGAATGTGTTAAGGTAGCACAGCCCTGGAAAACATACCTATAAGGGTTAATATACACACATCTGTACTGCACGTCTGGCATGTGCATGACATAGTCACATTCAACCACGTATACTGGAGAGGAGTAAGTACAGCATGTTGTAAAAACAAAAGCTTTCTTCTTGTTTCAATTGGCCAGCACACCAAGTTGGATGTCAATCTGCATTTTTTCTTAGGCAATTTGGAAAAGAAGACACTACAGATATTTTCAGCCAAGCAGCATACTAGCAAAACTTTCCCATTATTTCACCAGTTCTTGCAGACATTAAGTAGCCCAAGGTATAAAATTTTCGTTGCCATTACAACAGCAATGAGTAAAAAGGAATGGTCTGTTTCTATAGATGTAACACAATGCAACCTGCATATGTCAGCTGTTGCTTATTTCCCTTTAAGCTTTAATTATTTATGTCATCTTGCAGATCAGATCTGAATCTGGGTACTTAGCGTACTAAAAGGTCATTAAAATATAAAATTATGACAAATGCAGTATGTTCTGTAAGAAAAACACCCAGTATTTCAAGAGTTAAGGTTAAAGAGCTCATGCCACAGTCATTCCCCATATCTGTTTTTGATTGTTGCAGAAGATGCACTTTACAGCTGCTCTCCTAAAATCAATATTGCTGACCTTTTAGACTATGAACTCTGTCTAATCAAAGAAGTAGCCTGGTTTTTTTAATTTTTTTTTTTAGTATTTGAACTGCTTTATGTGGTTGCTGTCCATAAATTGTGAGGTCACAAATTTTTTACAGTTCTGCTAAAGTTGTATAGAAAAGGTTAGCATAATGATAATTTCACAGTGTACTATCTGCTGCACCACTAGCAGCTCCTCTATAGGACTGAAGGAAACCTGAAACATTTGTGCTAGTGCTGATCACAGATTCCAGAGTAAAAATAACTACCTCAGTCTGGAGACCATTTAACAAACTACATTTTCCAACAAAAATAACAGCATCTCCTTTTGTTAGGTTTTAATACCCATCCTAGGAACCTTATACAAAATAAATATGAAGTCAGGTATAACCTATGGACAGAGTAAAATTTTTGAGACAGAGATTCCAAAGTATACAGTGTGATTTGAAAATATCATTTTATTTCTCAAATGCAGTTTTGCATTTGAGATGCTGAGTTTAACTTTTATTTCTCAAATGCAGTTAAATTCAGCTTCTCAGCAAAATCCCAGTAAATTTCAGAGCTGATGAGCAGATAACTTTAATACAGGGCAGCTGCAGTCCCTGTGCCAATTAACAGCCTCAGTCACTTCCATGAAACCCTACTGGCTCCTGATTTACGTGCCTGTGCTGTAAAGCCTCTAAACCAATTCCCAAAGCCAAAATAAAGCATGGTCTGTGCAGCAAACTGAAATCTTCCTGGAGTCACACAGCAATGCCATATTTCAGCTGAAGATTTCAGGATTCCTGTATTAATAACAGCACACTGAGGAGATGGTCATGGGAATGTGCTTGTGCATATGCTGCTGTCATTAGATCACCCATTTGTTTGTATACAGATCCTAGACTTCCAAGCTTAGGCTAATTTTAGCTGGACTCAGATGATCCTGCCAGACTTGCTATCCCTCGCTTTGCTAATTATTGCTCAGCACTCTGCTCCAGCTGACTTACCTTTTTCACTGTCTCTGAATAGCTGCCAGGGAGGAAGCAGTGAATGGTGCTTGGGGAGACCTCCTTGTATCTTCCTTGCTGTGTTTTAGTCAGTTTGTTGGGTGCAATCCCATTAACAACTGCTGAAAGGATGCTGCTGGTCATGAGAGGAGTCAGGGTCTGGCAGAACAGACAGAGGGCCACCACCAGGGCCAGAAGGAAGGGACGAGGGCGACAAAGCCTGCGGCATCTGGGGACTTGCCCACACACCATGGCCTCTTTGCCGACCTCACATTGCCCTTTGCCACATTGCAGATGCAGTCCAAGTAGCCACGTCAGGGTAAAAAATGTCAGAGGCACACTTTACCCAAAACTACAATGAATTTTCCCATTTCTGCTGCTGAGTGTTTTCCTGGTACCAGGCAAGAAGTCACAAGTTCCAAAGGAGCAGAGGTTTGGGGAACACCTTCCCATGGAGTTACTGGAACAACCTGTGAACAAACAATAAGTGAGCAGCAGAAAACAGCAGCATGCCATGGGGCATCCTGCAAGGAGCCGTGGAGAGCTCTTCTGCTTCATGCTCTCAGGAAAACAAACCTGCCAGCAGACAGGTGAGGAGCAGAAATCTTCACCCCCTTTGCAAAAGGAACTATGTACTCAGCCAGACAATAGTATTCAAGAAAGCAAGAGGTTAAAGCTTAACATGTCCTGTCCACAGCTGAAAAAAGTAAAAGAGTGTACCAACTTTGTGAACAATCGTTTGCTGTTTTTTCTCTCTTGCATTCTCAATTCCCACTTTGTTTTTACAGTTTTCTTCATTCCAGTCCTTTTAAATTTCCTTCTTCCTGTTACAAGGCACAGCTTTCTCTCTAAAAGTGATAATTTATCTGAAAACTGACAGACTGAAGATTTTCATTTGCATTTGTTTTGTTCAGATTGCAAGTTCAAAGTTAGGTTTACTTACTTGGTTCTTACCCTGTTTGAAGTTTTCCCTTCTCCTCTAATGGGCTGCTGATTAAAACCACTTGGAACAACCCTGGCTCGTGATTCCAGCTCGTCTCACTCACTCAGGAGGCAGGCACACGCACATAACACACACCATCTGAAGCCAGTTGGACCACAGACTTCATATAAATAAGGGCTGGACTGCTCAGAGGGTGGAGCTAAACTGGCTGTGCTCGGAGCAGGCACAAGATTTGGAGACACAGCCTGAAGTCCGGATGGGGAACGAGAGGTGTCCTTGCTCACGCTGCATGCCTCAAAGCCACCATCACTGCAATTTTTAGAAAACTGCTGTTGCAGTGATTAGCCTAATAGAAACAATATTCATATTCTCAGGGAGAAGCACCTGCAATATTTTAATCCAGATTAACAAAAAATGTTGTAAACTAAGCAGATTTACTTGGACATAAGCACCACTGACAAAGCAGTCATCAGTAATTTTCCGTAGTAGATATAATATCTCATAGCAGAATATAAATAAAACTTCTTGCTGATGTAAAAGAGGGAGAGAAAGGAGGGTGGACAAAAATACTCTGATGAAAGCTCTTAGTATCTAAGACGAGAAGGTCTTAGTTACTACTTCCCCCTACTGACACAGGACAGGGACCAGACAGATGGGAACAGTTCACAAACTTTGTTATATTTATATACCAGAACTTCTAAGATAATCAAGTTCTTTTAGCTAAAAATATATGTTTATAAGTAATCTATTTTATCTTTCATACTTAGTTAATGATTTTTGAAAATACAATTCTTCCTACACTGCCTCATATATAAGAAATGAATGTTATTACAATAATTTTGAGCCAATCTACAGTTTGGCAGCTGCAGCAGCACTACCAAATTAGAGGCCTATAAACAGCAAGGAAGGGTAGACTATATATTTTTTTGAAGTACTGATTTTTATTCAGCTTTTTAAAATTCCTCTTTCCCACCCCCCAGACAAAACTAAGGTGATTCATCAAGGTGATTGAATACCTCATGCAGGACCTCAGTGGTTACACGCACTGCATTTTAGTTTTATGTCTGGGATGGTAGCTGCCTAAATTAAACTCCTGGGTTATCCTGAGCAAGAAGAGACTACTCCAACTGCCTGTACCCTGCTGTGATAGATGCTTATAAGTCACAGAGGAACTCCCATCTTTGCTTTCTAGAGACATGCTGCTTGTGCTCCCTCCTTCCCAGCATACCAGTTCACATCCTCAAGCCCTGCTCCAGCCAGTCTGTGCTGCAAAACCTCTAGCAAGCCAACAAATCTGGCTAGAGGACATCAGAAAACCATGGTACTCCCTGCAGCTGTCTGTGGGGTAGGTCTCTTCCATCAAATGGAGAGGGATGCTCAGGGAGTTGGTGCACTCAAAGAAGATTGCAGAGACACTCCTGCCAGCCTACCTGGGAGCCACAGGGATGCCGTCAACAGAAGGGGACTTGCTTAATTGTTATAAGGTGTTGTCCTGCAGATTTTGGAATGCCCTGATTTCTGGGCCCACAACCACCAGCTGTGTGGGTGGCATTTGCATGGTTGTCAACTTTTCTCAGACTCCTAGTAAGGGTATGTTAGTCAGTGCTTTATGCGCTATTCCTAGAAGACTTGATTAAAAACATTTTATAAATATTTGGCTTACTGATTGCTTCATAATGTGGAGTTCATACCTCCTTGGAGAATCCCACACTAGAATAAAGTAATTTTCTCTGTCCCTACTCCCTGCTCTCTCAGTTACCTTCAGCATGGCAAGTAATTGTGTTCTCCCTCCAGCCCAACATCATGTTCCCCTTTCAGGCATTTAAGTGGAGTATTTCCTTGCATTTCCCCCAGTGTCTCAGAGTCAATTCATCCTTCCTGCAACCCCAAAACCATTCATGGGTTCCAAGACTTCAGGACAAGCAGGAAACAGATGAAGCAAAGGGTAGGTTGATCACTCTGCCTCCTATATATTCCTGGGAATCACCTTCTATCCATCTGCTTTCCCCAGATGTTCTGAGGAGTGAGATGGGTTTTTCTCTGTAATTTTTGATTTCTTTTCATGACAATAGCATGTAGTGCCCATTTCTTAGGATGTAAATACTTTCCTCAGTCACAGTTTGGGTGCAATGAACACGATTCCTGTTGTCTTTTGAATCAGGATCCCACTGCATTTCTGGGCTTACGTGTCTACTGACTTACCTGGCCCCATTCTGGCACTTCAGAAATTGAGTCAGGAGTATTGCATATGGGAACTAATTCCCCTGGCATTAACTAGTCATTTAGGAAAAGGATATAAGTGGATAAAGTGTCAGGCCTCCTGGGTCTCAAATTCACAAAGAAGGTTCTTTAGTATATAATATTCAAATAACTGTTGGTGAGATCAGAACTATCCAGCTAAGTATTTATATTCATAGGTATGTGTGTGTATTTCAGAATTTCTAGCAGAAAGGTATAACTCTCCTCTCTCTGAAATACAAAGCAAGCTTAGTATTCCTGTTTGAGATTCCCTGACCAGTTCCTTCCAGTGGCTGCTCCCATTGCATGGATTAAGGGCACTCTAGTCTGTTTACCTCTCCTATTTCTGTCTCTCACTCAGGACTTCTTGCCTGGCTGCTCCCTACAGCAGCCAACTACTGTCCTGCTCAGCATGAGGCAAAGTTGTGCCAAAAGCAGCAAGCCATGACTGTCAAAAGTGATCTCCAGTGCTTGCAGACAGAATCCCATTCCGTCTGGAATAGACTAAAAGTGTTTTAAAGTGACCCTGACACAGAAAAGGTGAGAGGAAAGTCGCAAGACTTGCTAAAAATTCCCAGGGACTGGGATTTGAGAGGATTTAGCCAAGGTGCCATGCAGGCATGTAATGTTCACTGTTCATCATCTCACTGGGGTTTTAAGCAACTCGGCTATAGACACACATCTTCCATTTTACATGAGTCTCCATGTTTGTTCAGTGGTGAAAGCTAGTGACCACTGAAAAATTATTAAAATTCCATGATCGAAACAGTAACCTGGAAACATAATTGCCAGGAGTAAGGAGAAAATATTAGGCACAGAAAGTTAACAGGAGTTTAAGGTCAGCTGAATACATACGTCTTATGCTTAACTTCACTCAGAGATCTAACATAAACCATAAATTAAGTCTAGGTAAAAGTGCTTGTACAATGAAGTCTTGATATAAGAAAACCATTTAGCATCAATAATTTCACTATAGAGAGGCTGCCAAAAAGAAAATATGTTTAAAAAAACCTTTTCACAATTGCTCTTTTTCTGGAGAGAGTTTCAAATTTCAAAGCATAGCAGCCTAGCAACCATTTCTGTGATAAATGAGATCACATGAAAAATAAGTGCAAACTGATAATTTCTAAATTAACTGATACTCAAGTGCTTGTAGTCATCTGTCATCTTCACAAAGCAAACCTACATGCAGTTTTCATTGTTTATGCTCAACTCTTTAATTTCTTTTTTATTTTCTAGTATGCTAAAAATTATGCCAATGGCCATAAATTCTCACTAACTTCAAAAATTAGTTAAAAGCTTCAGGAAGACTAGGCCTTCATAACACTGTAAATGTTCAAGCAAAGCATCTTGTTAAGCTGTGTTGGAGAAAACCAGCTCAGCTGCACTCTCTGTGATTTTTTACTTCTCCTTAAATTCATTCCAGACTGCAATTAGATTTGTAGTGTCTTTAATCCTGTGTGTGGTCCCATTATAAGAAGTGAATGGGGAAGAACAGAACAAAATGAAGAAAACAGGAAAAATACATTACTGTTCTGCATTTTAGAAGATTTGATACCACTGAAGTTAAAATCAATCCCAGCACAGTAACAGGCCAGATTCTCTCTCCTTGTCCCATTCATAGAACCCTGTAAGCATTAGTGATTTTACTCTGCTCCAGAGGACAAAGATCCATGTCTTAATCCCACTTAAGCTCAGCTCTCTGATTTTGGTTCACAGTGAAAGCAGGCAAGCAGAGAATCACAGAATATGTTGTGTTGAAAGGGACCCATAAGGATCATTGAATCCAACTCCTGGCCCTGCACAGCACCATCCCCAAGAGTCACACCATGTGCCCAAGAGCATTGTTCAAACACTTCTTGAATTCTGTCAGGCTGGTGCTGTGACCACTTCCCTCGGGGAGCTGATCCAGTGACCAAACACCCTCTGGGTAAAGAACCTTTTTCTAATATCCAACTGAAACCTCCCTGACAGAACTTCAGGCCCCTCCTTCAAGTCATCTCACTGGTCACCAAGGAGAAGAAATCAGTGTCTGCCCTTCCTCTCCTCTCATGAGGAAGTTGTAGACTGTGATGAGATCTCACCTCAGTATCCTCCAGGCTGAACAGACCAAATTACCTCAGCTGCTCCTCATATGGTTTTCCCTCAAGACCCTTCACCTTCCTTGTGGTCCTCCTTTGGGCACTCTCCCATAGCTTTATATCTTTTTTAATTGTGGCACCCAAACCAGCCCCCAGCACTTGAGGTGAGGCTGCCCCAGTGCAGAGCAGAGCAGGACAATCCCCTCCCTTGCCCAGCTGGAGATGCTGTGCCTGATGCCCCCTAGGACACAGGTGGCCCTCCTGGCTGCCAGGGCACTGCTGACTAAAATTCAACTTGTCAGCAATCAGAGCCCCCAGGTCCCTTTCTGCAGCGCTGCTTTCCAGTATCCAATTCCCTGGTCTGTCCATACATCCAGGGTAGCCCCGTCCCAACTGCAGAACCTGGCACTGTCCTTACCTCTGCTCCTGCTCTTTCCCTTCCTCTCTTCCTACCTGGTGGTGCTGTTCATTAGATCTTTCAAGAGAAATTACACAGCTGGGCAGTTTTCTGCCATGTGAGGAAACTGAATTGACAGTTGGAGAGTTCCAGTGAGCCCTCATGCTGGCACATGTTAAGCAGCAGGAGAATGTTATTGAAAGAGGATGCAAACAGAGGAAAGGAACAGGATCTTTTAGGCAGTGGCAAAGTTCAATACGCAGCTCATCAGATTATCAAACCTACCAGCTTCCCTAAAGTTCAGGTAGAATCTGGGCCAACTGAGTTATTTGTTTGGAGATTGTTGCAGTCATGCTGGCATGGTAGCGTGGAGGAAGGTTTTAGAAAGGCCTTGGGGAAGCAACAGGAGGCATCTCTGTATTTCAGGCATAGTCTTTATGACTGTG